GTGACAAAGCGGGAATGTTCTCTCTGAATACTGTGTGGGTGTCTCAGTTTCCCCTATGCAGTTCTTAAGTATCTAGGTGGTGGGATAAGCTGTGTGATTGTTGCAGAGCCTTAGAGGGCCAGTGTGATGCTGTCTGCACAGAAAATGGCCGGCACCCTGTCTCCTGATGGCCTGGGCCCCTCCCTTGCAAGGTGCCAACTGAAGGTGTTGGAGAACAGAGATCAGGTGGCCTCCTGGCCCAGAAAAGAGACAAAGGCCAGAGGAGGGGCTAGAGAGTTCAGTTTGGAGCGGACTGAGGAAATGGAGGGCTGCCCAGACAGGGCTCTGGCCTCCTTGGCCCAAAGATGGACCTGACTTAGGGCTCCTGTTTCCTGTACCTACAAGCTCTGTTTTGGACTGTGTTCCTGTCATCTAAATAACCTTGTGTATTACTGGCTGGCTGAGAGTCATGTCTGACTGCAGAATTGGGGTGCAGGACCCACTGGCTTCCCCAGGAGCCCCACCTATGTGGACTTGCTGTAGGAAGCGTATGGTGTGGAAGGGGATGCTGAATGCTCCGAGGTCAGACTCAGGAAGGTGAAAGCTGTGTAAGCTTCCTGCCCTAGAGACAGTGTGCTCACAGAGAGGAGGCATGCGCCCCCAGAGCCCTGACTGGCTTCGTAAGGAGTAGTTCCAGAGAATTGCCCAGTGATTCCGTGACAACTACATAAGTACAAGATGCCATATGTCTGAGGAGCTTCAAGCAATTTCTTGCTGTAGTGGTGGGGTATTGCCTGAAGCCTTCTATGATGTCGTACATTGTCTGAAAATGAGACTCTAGCAGGAAGGCTCTGACTTGACCCAAGTCCAACACTTCCCCTATAAAACTATTCTCTGAGTAGGGGATAGAGTTGATTTGTGTACATTCACCAAGAGACCCAGCCTGTCGAAGGTAGACTGTATCATGCTAACATGTTGCTACACTTGTGCCTTGGAGCAGGCCCTGACCAACTAGGCACCGAGGTACAGGAATACCTGCACCTACTTGTTTCTCAGGAACTATGACCGGTGTTCCCTCTAATTTTTCCCACACATGTGCTGAATGAATTTTGTTATGTGCACCACTATGAAGGTGATGTGACACACATCACCTCCATATTGGTTCACATAACAAAATTCATGTGGTGGGGTGGGGCTGAGGAGTTCGAAGTGTGGGAGAAGGCTCAGGGCTGGGACAGAGAGTTGGAGTGTGTGTGGTGGGGGAGGGGGTTGAGGGCTCTGGCTAGGGGTGCAGGCTCTGTGGTGGGGCCAGGGATGAGGGGTTTGGGGTGCAGGCTGTCTCAGGACTGGGGTGCGGCAAGAGGACTTCCTCCCCCCAGCTCTCTCTCCCTGCAGCAGCACCTGGGCTGGGTTGGGGCCAGGGGAAGGGCACCTCTCCCCCAGCCGCAGCAGGTGTGAGCTGGGTCTGGGTTGGGTTGGGGCCAGAGGAGGGGCGCTTCTCCCCCAGCCACTGCAGGTCTGGGCCGCCTCTTGCTGCTCTAGGGGTCTGGGGGAGAAGCATCTCTCCCTGCTGAAGCCCTGAGCACCTGCATGGTGCTTAATAGGCTGCTGCATGGCCACACAGCTTAGAGGGAACTTAAGCAATGACTTCCATGCACTTGGTGAAAACTCGAGGGGCTGGTGGCAGGCTGATGGGGAGGACAGTAAACTGGTAATGGTTGCAGTTCCCTACAAACCTGAGGAAGTATATGTGGGCTGGAACTATTGTTATGTGGAAGTACGCATTCTTCAGGTCAAGGATGGTGTACTAGTTCCCCTGATCTAGGGATGGGATGATGGCAGCCAAAGAGACCGTGCGGAACTTCAGCTTCTTCATGAATCTGTTAAGGCCTCGCAGGTCAAGAATGGGTCTGAGACCCCCTCATTGGCATTGGGGATTAGGAAATACTGGGAGTAAAAACCCTCGTGCCCCTTAGCTCCCAAGGAATGTCCTCCACTGCTCCCAGGGCCAGGAGCATTTGAATTTCCTGCATGAGGAGTTGCTCATGAGAAGGGTCCCTGAAGAGGGACAGTGAAGGGGTGGTGGGAGGGAGAGGAGGAGGATAATTGGAGAGAATATCCCACTTCTACAGTGCAGAGAACCCAGCAATCTGAGGTTCTGAGCCCAAGCATGAAAGACAGACAGTTCAGAAAACAAAGTAAAGGATCTGGTGACTGGACTGGTGCTTCGGCCCTGGGCACACCCTCGAAAGGTGTGCTTAGAGCCAGAGGATTGCCTCACCAACCCTTGGCCTTGATTGAGCAGTAGATGGAAGGCTTGCACCAACCATTCCTGCCCTGCTTCCAGAAGTCCTGCCTAGGTTAGGGAAGGTAGAAGTGTGGAGGAGGTTAGGGCAAACCCAGCAATTTCAGTGTTGCCCATAGTCTTTTAGGCTATGGAGCTTAGAGTCCATCTGCTCCAAAAACAACCCCACACCGTCAAAGGGCAGGTCCTGAATTGTTTGCTGCACCTCTGGGGGAAGGCTTGACACCTGGAGCCATGAGCTTCTCCTCATGGCTGTGGTGGAGGATATGGCTCATGTAGCCAAGTCTGCTGCGTCCAGGCCTGTAAAGAGGTCCATGCCAGTGCCTTGACCTCCTCCACCAGAGCAGCAAACTCTTCTCTAGAGTCTGACAGGATCAACTCCTTATAACTTTCATCATGGTGTTCCATGAATTAAAATGATCTACTCAAGATTTGTTGCTAGTTAGCAATCCAAAGCTGGATCCCCCCATGGATTGCACCTTCCTGCCAAAGAGATCCGGCTTCTTTGCTGTCCATCTCTTTCTTTCTCTCATTCGCAGCACCTGCAACCAGCAATGCAGGCTGTGGATTAGTGAACAGATATTTGTACCCTTTAGAAGGGATGAAATACTTTCTCTCTACCCCCTTAGCTGTAGGGGGAATGGAGGCAGAAGTTGGCCACAAGGTCTTTGTGGTGGTTTGAATGGTTTTTATGAGGGGTAATATCACCCTGGAAGGCTCCAGATGTCCACCATGGGGTTCACAGGCTTGACCACCTTCTCGGCCTGTAGCCCCATGTTATGAGCCACCCTGTGCAATAGGTCCTGGGGTGCTCTATTATCAATGGGGGGCAGCTCAGAGGAAGACCATCACATCACCCCCTCGTCAGGTAAGGACAACAAAGATGCCCTAGGCAGAACTGGGCCCTCCTGTCTCTCCAGCTCCCAGGAATGGTCCTGTTTGTTGCCGTGATACTTGGTGCCAACAGCGGAGCTGGGATCCAGATGGGGCTCTGCGCCAGGGTCCAAAGTCGTCTTGGTGCCTTGTGGCAGGGCATGGTCCTGGGGTGGTAAAGGGGCATGCCTTTCTGAGATTATCAACTGGGAACCCCTGGAGTAGGTGCCCTGAGCCTGATGGTATGCCTACTGGGTCCAGAAAGGCCATTGCGGGGGCCTTTGCCAATGCTCCAGCCACAGCACCATTCCCGCCTCCTGTCTGTAGCGGTGCCACTCTGATCGGAGCCAGCTGCGCCTGGAGTAATAGGACTGTACCTCGGAATCCAATGACCGGGACTCCAAGGGCAGAGACCACAACAGTATCAAGCGGGACGGTGCGGGGAGGGAAGGGGACAGCGAGCGGTGCCTCATCATTGCGGGTTCGCCTCTAGATGACAGCACACATTTTGCCAGAGGTCTATCCCACCATTATGGCAATCAGGTCCCTGGCCACTTCAGATGTGTCTGCAGTGGAAGGGAGCTCCAACTCCTCCACCTGGCACACTCTAGCAGGAGAGTCCAACAGCGCAAGATTCGACAGACCCCTCTGCGGGCCCAAAGTCGATGGTGCCATTTCCTACGAGACAGGCATCAGGTGCTGCTGCCCAGGACACACAGTGCTACAGCTGTCAGTCCTGGCTGCTCTCACCATGGGCGAGTGCCCTCTGTCAGTCTTCTTGTGCCACTTATGAGGCAATGGTGAGTGCGAGGGATGTTGTGTTACCACCACGGGCTTCGGCACTGGGGAGTGACGGTTCCGAGAGTCTCTGTGCATAGAGTCCTTCATCAGTGCTGTAGCCTCGCTAATGGAGGCCGGAAAACTCCACACGGAGGTGCTCAGTGGAGAGTCCCGCTGGCCCAGAGACAGGTAGGGACAGAGGGCTGCCTCCATGAGGAGTTGCTTGCACTTGAAGTCCCTTTCCTTCTTTGTTCTCAGGTGGAACCCTCTGCAGATCTTGCAGTGCTCTGTTTGATGTGCCTCCCCTAGACACTTTAGGCAGGACTCATGGGGGTCACCCTTTGGCATGGGCTTGTGGCAGGTCCCGCACTGTTTGAAGCCTTGTGATCGAGGCATGCCCCGAACCCCAAGAGGGGAAGGAATTGGGGTCATGGAGAACCCCCAACTCTAACTACAACTAAACCATTTAACTAGTTACAGGCTAACAAAAAGAGAGCACTAGGAGAAATGCTTGCCAAAGCAAGAGAGAGACAGCTCCAACGACCATCACTTGTGCTAAGAAGGAACTGAAGAGGGGGCGGGTTGGCAGGGACCTATATACACTGCCAAGAAGGGTTGACTCCAGGGTGCTCCAGAGCTGACGTGACGGGAACCGCTAGGGGAAAAACCTTCTGATGACTGTGCACACACACTTACTTGGAATTGACATGAGCAAGCACTCGAAGAACTGTTCCTTCCTATGTGTCTGTATGGCATCTATCATATTGAAGCTTCTATTCCGATTTTATAATGCTAGTGTATGGGAAAAAGGAGATGTCAGGAAGAATTTATTTAGATGAGCTTGAAGGTGGCTCTTTTGGAGGTCTTTGACCTAGTAAGTTTCCGGTCTGTATTTTTTCATTTTTATAAATTGAGAATAAAACAAACACTAAATAAATATTGATAATTTGGGAATACAACTAGAACAGCTGCATGTATCTGTAACTGTTTCTTATAAAGCTGCTGTCTTTTTCTTTTGATATCCTGCTGAAAAAATTGAACATTACAATAAAGACAGCTGTCATAACGTATTTCCCAGGAAAAAGATTTATTGAACATGCATCCCACATTCAGTAGAGGAGGCTGATAGAAAATTTAAACAAAAGAGCAATTAAAATTTCATTTTATTTTATCATCAGTTCTTAATACAATGTTTTGTGTAATTTACTGAAAATATGGTAATAGAGATTTACCAAAACAGCCAGAAATCATTTACAGTCTCCTCTTAGAGTGACAATTACATAACAAGGTACTTAATATAATTTTAAAATTTTAAGCACATTTTGTATTTGATTCAATTTTGGATTTCCTGAGACATGCATAGCATTTCTTTAGGCTATAGTAAATTAAACACTGTGCATAGCAAAACATTCTACATTAACAGTAGTGGTAAGTCACTGAAATTTTAGTGGCCAACAAATTGAAGTGCAACAAGAATGAAACTATTCTAGGCTTCAAAATACCTTAGACTATATCTAGAAACATGTAGTAACAAATGCGTATATTACATTTCTAACCCAGTAGTTTCTTACTAGAATACATCTATTTCACTATAGTGAGTAGTAAATATCTGATATATAAATATCTAAACAGGATATTTGCCAAGCATGGGTTATTTACAGGTAGATTTCCACTCAATAACTAATGCAAGTGGTGCATTTATATTTTGGTTGCTTTTCAACTGGAATAGGACAATGCATCTTGAGAGTTTCACATCCAGATTTTGGGCCTGATCCCAGTTTTCTCCCACAGGCAAAACAGGCATAAACCATTTCTGCCTTAAGACTGGGTGATTACAGCTATTATGCTTTTCTTTAGATTTTTTTATATATTGTTTTTGTTGCTGGTGATAGGAAATAGAGATTAGTTCAACATATATATGCATATGAGTCTCCTCCTTTTACCACTTTAAAATGCAAACCTAAATCCTACAGTTTTCATCTTTTGGTTAAACATAGCAGTACTGCCTGTGTAATTTTTTCAAAGGCATCTGAGTATTTTTATGAGTTGTGCACTATCGAGAAAGCCTGTTACTGGATTAAATGCAACTTCAGTGGAAGTTTTGCCTATTTAAAAACATAAGAATCAGACCCAATATTTTTCATGGTTTTGTACTATGAGAAGTCCTGCATCACTATTCACTTTTTCTGTCTTTCATTAGACATCGCACTGGCTCACAAAGCAGAAACTGATTAGCACAGGGCAAATTTTGGTGAACCAATCTCCTTTACATACAAATTAGAGCAGCAGACAGTTCATAGAAAGAACCAATATGCCATGTTAGATATTGCATTGGCTCACATAAGAGACCTCAATTCTAAGGTCATAAGTGATAGAAAATTCACTTTCTAAACTGTTACTGCTTAGAGATTGCTACTATCATACACTCTATGGCATTTTGGGCGCACAGTCATTGTTCATCAACATTTAAGCAACTAGTTTTTTGTAAACATGATTATAAATGAAAACACTGTACTCAAATGATTTGCTATGAGCTAGATTACGCCACAAATCTCATACATTGAGTAGTACCCTGGACAGGGTGACAGAATCAGGTCACATTAGTAATACATTTCTACAGCCAGGTAGGAAAACAAAACACCTGAAGTGTAACTAAAATTTGTAAAATTCATGCTTTGTTTATAAAATACATATAATAAGGACATTCTCTTACAAAATATTGTAACAAGTTGGTTACATTGGAACTATACAGGAATTCTTAGAAATGAAGTTACTTTAAAAACAGACTTAAGATTTAAATCTGGACAGAAGTAACAGACTATGACAATAGTTTGAGGAGGTTCACAAAAAGAAAGGAATAAAAGATTGTGAGGGTTTACTGAATTGTTTAATATAGATTATAGTAGAAAGTTAGAACTTCTTTGCAGCTAATACTTACAGTATCTAGAACAGTTTGCCAGAGATTTCTACCTTATCTTAAATAGAATATTTGCAGGATTTTTTAAAATCAAATTATATCTCTCCTTTATTAAGTACATAAGTTTTGCAAAAACTTAGACCACTAAAAATTAATTTACTTGTCCAAGTGCATAAAAAGGTGTTGAACTAATCTCTATTTCCTATCACCAGCAACAAAAAAACTCTATGTACAATATATTTTCCTGTAAAACATTATAAAGGGCACCTGAAAAACCCATGCAAAAGACTATCAAAATGTATGTAATATGCAAGTATATACTACGTACACAGTGTGTACAGAATTTCATGGTGAAAGACACTTACTAAGGACTCTTCTGTTCCAAAAGCTTCTTAAGTCTGTGACAGAATATTGGCACAAGACAAAGTGAATTCTACAATTAAAGCTGATCCAAGATTGAAGCTGTGCATTCACAAGACAACAGCCATAAGGGGTTAACAGTATGTGCAAAATAGATGGACATGCTCTTTTACTTGGAAAAAAAGGCAAAGCAACTTTTTCAAATCTGTGCAATATAGACAAGGGTTCTGAGAGTACAGGGGATGGACTACGCTTCAGTTTAGATATAGTCCATGGAAATAAATACATATTTCGAAAACTTACTTGGGCCTGTCAGAAACTGAAGTCTACAATTGAATTAATAGGGCCTTCCCACACTTTTATAAGTGAATTATCTGGCCTTAGAAACATTGCTACTTGGCCTTGGAGAGCATTTCCTGCGTATTGTCATCACTCCTTTCCCCAGTCATGATTGCTCAGTAGTATGTCACCAGTGATTTTAAGCATTGCTATAGAGCACAGGTATAATAGCGAGTCAGTGCCTTTAATAATCATTTATAGTTTTTATTTTTGCCTAATTACCATTAATGCAGTATTATCTATTATGAATACTATGGCAAACAATTACCTACACCTAGCCTTTCCCAGTTCACGTAGGAGGAAGAATGAGCATCCCTTTAAGTTGCTGAGAGAGGGAAAGCTAGAAATGAGGAAATAACTGAAGGAATTGTGCACTCCCAGGCTTGTAAATACTTTAAAGAAAAAGTAACAAATTTAAAACAAACAAATAGGTATAGTTATTTAAGGAACTGATACTAAAAGTGCATACATTAGTTTCCTTAAGAGGCTGTGTGCGAGTGGTTAGAATGGGGATCAATACCTGCTCTATGTCCTACACTGTCACTGATTCACTGTGGTAAGTCACTAAATCATCTATAGCTCAGTTTATCCATCTGAAAACTAAAAATACTACTTACCTACTTTGAAAAAGCATTTTGAGATCCTTAGAAATGAAGTCTGAAAGTGCAAAATATTTAGAAGATACCATTTAACAGAAAACAACAGCATTGAAGGTGCACTGTAACATCCCAGACTACATATTGGGCTATGTCTACACTACAGCTTATGTTGGCATAACTTCTGTTGCTCAGGTGTGCGAATAAACCACCCCTCTGAGCGATATAAGTTACAACGACATAAGCGCTGTGTGGACAGCGCTATGTTGGCAGGAGACCTTCTTGCAGAAGTGGTTTTCTTATGCTGAGAGGAGAGCTCTCTCCCGTCAGCATAGAGTGTCATCACCAGACGCACTGCAGTGACACAGCTCCATTACTGTAGTGCTCCTAGTGTAGACAAGAGATAGGCATTTCTCAGGCATGCTGAAGGCGCCAAGCTACTCCTCACTTCTCAATACACAAAAGGGAAACAATCCTGCATTTCTTGCATACCCAAATTTATCTTCAATGGGTATGCATGGAACGCAGGATAGGATCCAAGATGATTACTTACCACACTTTGGTTCAGATTCTCTCTATTCTGTATTTTGTGTAGTCACACCAGGGTATTTGTTATGATTTAGTAGAATTTTACACTCACTCTGCCCTGGTATAAGTGACTACACAAGATGCAGGGCAATGCTCTATTTTCTTTCCCCCCCCGCCTCCTTTTATTTACGTACGTACATACATACACACACAAATGTACACGCGCACACACACTCTTGAGGCTGCTCTAAACTACACTAGGGACCCAACAAGAGCAGAACTGATCCCACCACTGGGAACCACAAATGGCTCCTCTGCAGCCCCTTTTGAAGCTACACCCCTCACTCCTTGGCTGTAGCTGAGAATATGGTCCTAGATGTTCATCTTAGTATACTAGCCCTATGATAGTTAAAAATAAGTTGGAATTTCCATGCCTATGATGTTTGGGGGCTTACTAATAGAACCATTTAAATAATTTGAAGAGAAACCTTACATACAATTTGCCATCCTGGATGTATAAAACAGTTAAAGAATTTCAGACAGTTTCCCTGCATAAATTTGGTGAAAACTGTCTTTAAGCTACGGAGACAAGTTTCAGAGAAACCCGTCCTCCTTTCACATTAAGAGGTCACTAACAAATATCAGCAATACCATGTCATTAAAATTTAAACATGTTTCAGAAAAAAACAGTTTCACTTTTTCAATCCTGCATTGCGACTGCATGGGCAGATTACTGTGCCTGCACAAAATTCTGTTAAGTCAATGGGACTCCAATGGGCAGTTTACAGGTGAATCACAATGCAGGATCAGGGCCTAAAGTAAGTAAAAATAAATAAAATAAAAAAAGCAATTATACTATGTTACAGATTAAATACTTGCCAAAGTACTCTCAAATTCACCACAACTATAAAACCAAATAGTCAAACCCACAGTGGTCCAAGTTTGGGGATTTGCTCTATTCAGTTCTGGGTAAGTGCCAAAAAAAGCATTGTTAGACAGAGACCATTGTTGAGTGGTGTCTCAGAAACAACCAGGACTACAAATGAATGATTTATAACATTTGAAACCTGAGAATCTCAGCTTTCAAACAGTATTAAGCACTCATTTCTAGCAATGGCACGTTATGAAATGTAATAAGAACATCACTCAATTACTATCTTGCTTTATTTTCTCCTCACCTGAATTCTGACATGATTTTGGTAGCTGCTATCTTTAGTACTGCAGAAAATCAACGAACTGTCTGAAAACTTGAAAATTAAGATTTCAAATGGTAACAGACAAATTCATTCTAGTGGCTGAAGACTGTGCTACTAAAATCATGCAACGAAGACTGCTCTAGAAAATAAATCAATTGTAGGACTAGAAAATATTTGTGAGACTTGTAACCTTTTCAACTTTTTCCAAACACTGGATCTAGGTCTGGATAAGTAATAAAAGAGTCTATCCCTGGTAAACATTAAAGAAAATCTCATTTAAGAAACAATTTTTCTTATTTTGAGCAATTTCTTTGCTCATATACTTTCCGCCCTCATTTTAGTTACTATTATTCCTTCTTTAATTTTAATCTAGTTAGACGATCTCAATGCATTTTGCTGACACTCCATAGTTACAAAAAATACAGAATACAAAATCCAAATACAAGATTAATCTGGAGTTAAATAACCTTTCATCAATTTTTGAAACCAAAAGCTTTAAAAGCTCTAAATTTCAGAACAATTTCACGCTATTCTTGATGTTTGTACCACAGACAAGTCAAATGTTAAAGTAAACTGCCTGCTACAAGGTGTACAAATGATATAACAATTGGTGTGTTATTTCATGCACCACAAATATTTATCCTCTGAGGAACTATTGAGACAAAATTCTAATCACAGGAGTATTCAACTCTGAAACACAGCTATATAGCTAAAAGTAAAATGTAAATATTCTAAATTCTGTCTCACTCTACTTGAGTCACCTCTGAATTATTCCAGATAGAGTTTCTGTAAGCTTTACATACAGATTATGAATAAAAAGCATCTAGCATTTCACAAAATATTCTCCAATTACAATAGGCTAGAGATGCCAATATTGCTCACTATTGTTTTATCCCCTAAAAGGAGTCAAAGTTAATTCTAACAGGTACAGTAATAGTGCATACTACATTCAAAGGTTTTTTTTTTTTTTTAAAGTATATTCATAATAAAAGACATCTTGATTGGCTGAATTAGAATTCCCAGTGTCATTTCCAACTCGGAGATGGACTGAATGTATTTACAAACAAGGGAGGCAGCACCTCACATAAGCCATTGTTCTTTTTCCTTACTGTATTTCTCAGACCACTTGCGAGTGAGCTCCAGATACATAGTTGGTTTATGAGGCTTGTAATCCAGGTAAGTTACCTGTCCAGTTTTCTTGGGAATAGCTTTTTCAATCTGAGTCCCTTCATGCCATTCATTGAAAGAGGTGATGGAAATAATTTCTGATCGCACCAAAAGTGCTGCACTGAAGGCAGTCTCATAATACTTCCCATTAACACGGTTGCGGGTGTTGTGGTTATTCCACGGTCGGATGTTGGTGTCAATGTATCCTGGTCCCACACTTGGAATGAACATTAAGTTGCTGCTGTCACAAAAGGCTTTTAGACTTGGCCAATTGTGATGAGATGAGCCATAAGAAAAACCATTGGTGGCAAAGTATGTATAAATTCCATCAAAACCACTTCTGTGGATTTCATGCTTATGTTTTTCTTCCACTAGAAGTGCAATAAATAATCCATCATACGGTGTATTGCGAATGCTCTGGGATCCAGAAACAGTTAATAGATTTGCCCATATTTCAGGGATTGTTACATAAGAATCATAAACATAAAACATGGGGAGAGTTCTGCCTGTGCTGGTCTTATGCCGGTAAAAAGCTGGATGGCCTCCATATCTATAAAGCAAAGAATATGGTAAATATTCATAATATGATGCCAGTTGGGAGAGAATCTTTCACATACTGAACTGAGGAATTTATGAATTTTAAAAAACTTTATGTTCAAGATTAAATTCAATTCAGTAATGTGGCAAATATATATTTTAATCATACATATGCTGGAAACTTATGTACTAGGAGATAATCTACAGCATAACTTAATTATTAGTGTCAAGTCCTACAAGTAGGTATCACTTTCCTCTCAAAGAGAAAACATTAATTCGCTGAATCATTATGGAAGATACTCTAAGTGGCAGCAATAAAATAAAAACTAGTAGCTGACTAACCTCTCTGACTTTAAGGCTGGATTGAATTTAAGGATATTATGGGTTAGCCCATTAGAAGTTTAGCTGTCAACCTACAAAGTTGTTGATTTTTTTTAAATAAAAAAATACAAGTGTCTGAGAGCTTAAATAAAAGCAGTTAGAAACGTCAGTCTGAGGTTTCATGAAGCGTGTGAAAAAAAATTGGTAACTAACCTGGTTCCATAACTGTTGGTCTTCGAGATGTGTTGCACATGTCCATTCCACTCTTGGCATTGCTGGGCACTGGGCACACCGATCAGAAACTTCTCCCCTCAGCAGCACCCGTTGGGGTGGCTCAAGCTCCACCTGGTGCTTCACACCACTGCATGCAGGTAAAGAAGGCAGAGTCGTCTCTAGCCTCCCTCAGTTCCCTCTTGCCATAACTCTGATGAAGAAGGGTAGGAGGGCAGATCATGGAATGGTTGTATGCAACAAATCTCAAAGAACAGTAGTTACGGAACAAGTTAATAACTGCACGTGTGCATTCCGCTCTTGATGACTCTCAAACTGTAAAACAGGAGGCGGGATCAGAGTCTATTTCAATAAAGATTGGAGAGCAACTCATCCCACTCTTACATCATCTCTGGAGTCTTGAGCTACAGTACAGTGGGAAGCAAACGTGTGGACTGAGGACCAGGCTGACACTCTACAAATGTCTGCAATTGGAACTTGTGCCAGAAAGTCTGCCGAGGCTGACTGTGATTTCATCAAATGAGCTGCGACTCTGTCAGGTGTAGCGACATTAGCCAAGTCATAGTACATGCATATGCAGGATGCAATCCAGGAATACATTCTCTGGATGGAGGAGACTGACTGACCTCTTACTCTGTCTGCCACTGCTAGGAACAGCTGGGAAGATTTACAAAAGTAACTGGTTCTGTCCAGGTGAAAGGACAAGCCTTTTCTGACATCCAAGGTATGCAAACACTCTTCCTCCCTGACCGTATATGTTTCTGGGTAGAACACAAGCAAAAAAATTGGCCTGTTGATGTGGAAAGAGGAAACCACCTGATGAACTTTGGATGAGGATGCAAGTAAACCCTTGTCCTTAAAGATTGTATATAAAGGCCTTGATATTACTGCCCGCAGCTCCCCTACTCTTCTAGCCAAGATAATAGCCACCAAAGATGCTACCTTCATTGATAGATGCAGCAGTGAGCAGGTAGCTAATGATTCAGATTGGGAGGTGAGTGGGAGGGGGGGAGAACGCATAAGTTTAGATCCTCTGGGGGAATAGAGTCTTGCACTCGAGGGTATAATTTGATTAAGTCTTTAAAAAACTTTAGGGCCACGTCACTGGAGAAAATAGAGCAATTGTCCACTTCAGAAGGGAACGATGAGCTAACAGTCAGAGATATTTTGATGGAACAAACTGCCAAATCTTGGTGTAAGTAGTCCAGAATATGTTGAACTGAAGCTGGTCAGTGATACACCATACTGGTGAGACCAGATAGAGAAACCCCACAACTTAGCGAGGTAAATAGCTCTTGTAGAGGCTTTCTGCTATTTAGCAGGACCACCTGAACATCCTTCAAGCAAGCCTGCTCTCTAGCATTTACCTTATGGAGCATCCATGCAGTTAAGTGAAGGGACTGTAGGCTCAGGTGGACTAGGCACCCGTGATCCTAGGAGATTAGATCTGAGTCTAATGGAAGTGAAACTGGAGGTTTCATTGACAGCACCAGGAGAATGGAGAACCAGTGCTGATGGATCCATGCTGGGGCTGTAAGCATGACTCTGGCCTGATCCTGTCTTAACTTTTGCAATAGTCTATGAATGAGTGGGACTGGTGAGAAATCACAGAGGAGCCTGCCTCCCCATGTCAGTAAAAGGCATCTATTATGGAACCTACAAGTGAAATTAATGCATGCAGCAACTTATAAGTATGTGTTTAGTGTCTAGACTTTATGGAATGCTTATAAGTAATACCTATCATGAACAGTACTAACATACAGGTGAGCTGGTTTGGTTTCCAGCTATGAATTTGTTAGTGTTTAGCTGATGCCTACAGCCTTAGCAAGAGCTGGCACTTGGTCTGCAAGCACACAGAGAGTATATCACACTTCCACAGTGCTCAAGGGACCATTGCTACAAAGTAATCTGGGACAAAGCACAGCCGAAGTGGGAAAGATTGTTTACAAAGGACGTTCAGGTCTGGAGAGAGAGACTAGTATGTCAACCTTGACTAGTCCATGAAAATGCCTGCTTTGTGGTTCCGGGGTGTCTTGAGGGGCCCAGAGCTGGAGCCAAAGCAGCAGGATGGGAAGACCTACACATATAACCCCTGAATCTTTTTGATATCTCCTGTTGAGGAGGAGAAGCAGGGTGTCTGCTGTGGCTGACCGTGCTTCCTGACCGGGAGAGATGTGTACACAGCAAAGGACTTCAGGGTAGCTCTAGAGTCTCTAACTCCATGGAGTTTGCGGTTTCTCTGGTCTGAGACTAGAGAAGGACCACTGAACAGCAAATCCTGGATAGTACTCTGGACTTCAGAGGGAAGACCAGAAGACTACAGCCAGAATGATCTATACATGGCCACTGCGGAAGTCATGGTTCTAGCTGCTGAGTCCAATCCCGCTTGCAGTGAAGTTCTGACGACCACTATGCCCTCATTGACCAGGGAAGAGAACTCCTGCCCAGCATTCTCCAGACACAGCTCCTTGAACTTTTCCATGGAACCCTACAAATTAAAATCATATTGTCCTAACAGAGACGGTTGGTTGGGGATATGCAGCTGCAAGCTTCCGTTGAATAAATCTTTCTGCTGAATAAGTCTAGCTCCTAGCACCTTTTGATTTCGGGATGGAAGCGTGGTATTCCTGTCATTCTCTCTCATGAGCCCTGCAACAACTAATGAGCCCAGAGGTGGATGAATATAAAGGTAAACCCTTGGGAGGTTACATATTACTTTCTTTCTGCCCTTTAAGAGGTGGGCGGCAAAAAGGTTGGAGTCTGCCATAAAGTCTTTATCTGCTGTATATCTACTCTAATAACTCCTGATAAACCTCAAATTATCATCAAGAGGAGGTGAAGTTGTGCTGGATGAAATGGCCTCGTCTGGAGAGGGCGAAGAGGAAGCCAAGACTTGAGAGGTAGAACCTCTTCTACTGCCTGTTTTCCCATTCTAGAACCTCCTGTTGATGCTTGGTACTGGGCCCAGTGCTGGACTCTGGGGACGGAGCTGCTTAGTGCATAGACTCAGCCCTTCTAGATGAGGGCACTGAGCCCTGGTCTATGCTACAAACTTACGCCAGTATAACTATGTTGCTCGGGGTGTGCCAAACTCCTAGTGTAGACAACGCTATGTCGATGGGAGGTCTTCTCCTATCAACAAAGCTACCACCTTTCAGGGAGGTGGAGTTCCTACAATGACAGGAGAAGCTCTCCTGTCAGCATAGGTAGAGTCTTCACCAAGCGCTACAGTGGCACAGCAGCACTGTGAACGCAGACAAGTCCAGAGCATGTATGGTGAGAATACCTGGAAGCTGGGAGAAACCTTCAAGAATTCCAAAACGGCCACTGATACAGAGCAGGATCCCGTTGTCCTGGCCACATTTCCATAGCAGGTCCCATTGAGACTGATGGGTCCTGCTTCAGGGTTGTGATAAGCAAGATCCCACCTCTGAGTCCAACGAGGATTCCCCTTCTTCGGACGATGGCAGGGCCAATCCAGTCAGTGCCAGAGCCCAGTGTTGAGAGCCTGGCGATGAAAGCAGTGATGCAATCATAACCGAGTTGCAAGGGTCCACCTGTCCGGGAAGCAGGCAACTGAACTACTGGAGGTTGAATCAGTGGCAGAGGCGCCTAAGGACCAGACACCTGTAAGAAAGAAGACAACACCACGAAGAAGAGCAGGTTTTTGCTGCTGCAAATGTCTCCAGGGTACTTGGCACTGAGGTGGTCTCTTGTTGCAGTGCCAAAGAAGCCACCCAATGGGTATCACTGAGGGAAAACGTTTCTGCTGGCCATGTACTGGTGCTCCAAACCAAGAGTTGACTGCACATGTGCAATTACTAAAAGAAGAAGAAATTTTAAATGTAGTTGGCTATTGCATCTCCACATAACATGCATGTCCCAATACTTTCAAATGTGCATACCTTATGTCTGAGTTCTAGGTCTGTCAGTTATGAGCAAAACAGCCCCTTTCATTTCTCTCAAGCTCAGGTCATACCATATACAGTTTAAGAGTTCACACAATAGATGAGAAATATCTATCAGAGCATGTGAATGCCAAAAACATACATTTTAGAAAGCACTTACTTGTCTACAATGTACTTCACATTGCTGTACATACTACGATCATCGCGATCTTTATATGGCTCAATATGAAAAGTGACCTGTAAAATGAAAATGCAATAAATGCAATATGGATTATAAAACATTACAGAACATAAAATCCATTTGGTGTTATTTGTCTAAGTAGTATCAGGCACACCAATAGAGCTCTAGAAAGAGGGACTGTGAAAAGTCTCCACAATGCTATGTGTGTAATTGATTCAAGACTACTATTCCTGAAGATTAATTCAATAAGACTCACTATTTTTTGGACTGCCAATATTAACAATATAGATTCGATGAAAAAATAGAAAAACTATACACCTATTCTTTATTACTAGTTTTATATAAGATTGCTTTTCTAAGCTACTGTAAATAATAAGCATGCTGGAAAAAATTACTAAAATACACAACTATATAGAGTATTCTAAGCTAGTTAATTAAAAGGTTATCTATTGACAATTCAAAAACTGATTATAGCTGATGAAAGTGTTTTATATTTTATTTCTAAGCAACAATATATTCTAGTTGTTACAGATAATATTTCTCCAAGGAGAGCTTTCAGTGAGAAATTAGATTTTAAAATGTGGAATGGGAGAACTTTACCTTTAATTTAGAGTTTTATAGGTTCATCAACAACAGCAATAAATACCTAGGCACTAAATCTAATATACTATCATTGCTACTTCTAAATTTCAGGCTTGGGGCTTATGAAATTATTTATGCTATAAACTTCAGCTCACTTCAAACTAAACTCCATTGTTTTCAACTACCCAATTAAAAGAGAGAATGTTTTACATTAATCAATGCTGGCAGTTTTTCAGAAGCAGTTTTTAACTTAGAATGCAAATGACGACACCAATTTTCAGCTAGTCTCAAGTGAAATGTGATACTATCACAAAGATTTTTTCACAAACTAAAGTGAAACACACTGCTGGACTAAATTGTTAGGATTATTAAGCTTTCCGTCAATTGTCTTATTATTTCTTTTTACTTCAGTCCTATTCAGAGGCAAAGCATACTTGACAAGGCTACTTCTAGTTCCACACAGTTATATGACCTTGTTTTTCTCTCTTTAGATTGAAAATAATTTCTTTTGCATAATGATTCTGAGTTTATTGACAAGTCTATCATCTTTAACTCTAATCATTTTCTCATTCAAATTGCCAGGATGCCTACAAAATATAATATTGAAGATGAGGTTCACTGTGCTAAGAATAGATGTTGAGTATAGGTACTGAGAAAATATTATTCCAATGATACTTCAAATATCTTCCCTGCTAACTTCCTGATTTTAAATTTTAATCCATTAACACTTTAGGGAAAAATATATTACATTCTTTATATTTCCTAATGCTGAAGAGAACTGTTCAACCAGTATTAACCGAATCAAAAAATAAGCTGAATATTGGTCTTTTCGCACATTATTTGTGAGGCCTGGGGGGGTTCTTTCGTGTGGCCCACCAAGCTCCCTGCGCCGCCCCCACCCCCCCCACACACCCCTCTGCCTACCCCGTGGCACCGTGAGCCCCACTCCGCTCCCTGAAGCAGCCAGAACCATGCCCCTGCCTGCCTTGGCCCCGGTGCGCGCCGCATCCACCCCGGAGCTGCTCTAGGTAAGCGGCCCCGGGCCAGAGCCTGCACCCCACACCCCAACTCCCTGCCCTGAGCCCCCTGCCACAGCCCACATCACTGCTGCACCCCTCACCCCTCCTGCACTCCCTGCCGCACCCTGCACACCTCCTGCACTCCCTGCCCTGAGCCCCCTCCTGCACCCTGCATCCCAACCCCCTGTCGCACCTCTCACCCCTCCTGCACCGAGCCCCCGCTATACCCCACACCCCTCCTGCTCCTGCTCCTGCTGGGGGCAGGGAGGGGACAGGGTTGAGGCCCCATGGAAGGAGTGGAGTGGGGGTGGGGCCAGGGGCAGAAAGGGTGGGGTGTCAGTGATGCAGCCCTCAGGCCAATGCACTACTCCTCACGTGGCCCTTGTGGTCATTATCTCAAGCAATTGCATAGAGGGAGAGAGTGCGCACTAGGACACAGGGTTTCCCCCAGCTATGCAGGTCTCTCCCAGATAAAGATATAAATACTTGCTCAAATTGTTTATTACAGACAATAATAAGCAACAACTGCATATTGTTTATACATATTCCTTCATGATATCTTATTTTTTCTTACCATTTCTCTTATAGTCTGCATTCTATTCTTATCTAATAGAAGGTCACAACAGCCTCTTTCACATTTGTTTTCCACTCGCTTCACACTATCCCTGCTTCTACAAATCTTGCGTTATTAAAGCTAGAGTTAGCCTGACTCCTGCTCATTTCAGAGGCCTGCATCCAAATTCCCTTTATCTACTTCTACACTCCCCCCTTTTGTGCTTCCAGCACAACTGTCAATTTTAAACTTCCATTTTCATTAAATTTTGTATTTCAAACTCTGCATCAAATATGTCAACCTTAGGGGTTTTAATTGGATACAATGACAATGCATGGTTAGTATGGACACGAAAAGTATTATTATTATTACGTCCTTTACAACAACATAATAACCCTAAACCAAACAACAACAATACAAGCAATAACATGCCCTCAATAATACTATAATGGGGTTGTTGCACAGTTTTAGTCACAAAACACAATACATCATACTTAGTACAGAAGGTAGGCATTCTATGAGTGGTATGAAAGGCATACTTTTCAACTTGATATATATATTTTGAAGCATATGAAGTTGCCCTTGTAACTCAGAAATTTTCTGAATCTCTGGTAGGAGTGAAAGTAAATTTTGGAATTGATCAGGTATTAGGGTGGTCCAGTTAAAGGGTATCTGAAACCTAAGGACTGATTGAAAAATTCTATCCGCAGGCCTGCAGCAGTGGTGAGATTAAAATGAATATCTTGTAATATGGTGGCCTCAACATGCGCACAGCTATCATTAGCTTGGAAGAGTATGTGTCCTGTCAGGGTAAGTTCCTTGTCCCATACCCTCCCAACAAACATTGCCATGAACAGTGACAACTTCCCCTCGCTTCAGTTTACGTACACACTGAAGCTGTGGGGGTTCTAATGGCCAGAATGTCCACTGATTCCCTCTCCCTATCCAAATGTTTGGTGTTATTCTGGGAACACTGTCTAAAAATCTATTAGGCATACCAGGTAGTTAATGTCTTGGTGAATTACCCAGTCCACATGCATCCTCCCCACGGACCCGGCAGGATATGGTATGTGGGAGCCCACCTCTCCAACCGGTCCGTATACTTGGAAGAAACACCGCAAATGTTTGCATCTCCACCCAGAATATCTCCAAGTGTGTCTCCATGGCCACAGATCAGATGATACTCCTGAAGTGTCTGTAAGGGCAGTAGGCCAGGCCTGATGCTCGAGATCATGCTGAATAGCCATCAGCTGGTCATTCAGGAAATCCTGGATTTCTGAGCAATCCAGATCCCACTGCAATGCCTTCCCAGCCTCAGTGATATTCAGTACCATCTCTGTTAACAGCTTCTGGGTCATCGAACTAAGGGCGGAGATAACACGTAATTCACCCACTCCAGCCTGAACCTGGGTTAGTTGTGCTCCAGTTATAAGGCCAGTGGCTTTTTCCAATTGTCCCTATTTCTCTTCATGTTCTTGGTTTCTATAAATATTCCAAATTGCTGCTGCACTATTGGCCCCATCCCATAGGGATACAGCTAAGTCCCTCTTATTTCTAGAGGAAACCCAGGCCCTTTGTTGTGTTAACCTAATGGCAGCCAAAATACATACAACTGTTAAAAGAGTACAAATTATCTAGTTAATGAACACAAATGTATATGTACATTTGATCTAGAGATGTATTGAATATGAACACTTTAAAAGTACGATACCTTTAGATTGTATTTATGTGCATTATTCAAAATAACAGGCACCAAATCTTCACCAGGTTCCCCATTTTCATCAGCCATACCAGGTGGGTACCAAGAAAGGGCTATGACACCTAAGATATAAAACATGAGCTTGAGTTATGCCACCAAAAACATTATGCCTACTAAAATTTAAACAAACAGAAGTGTGCACATGAAACATATAAATATTCATGTTAATGTACAACATAGTTTATACAGCTAACTAAATAACGGCCATTTCTGAGTAAAACTGGCATTTGATACAAAATATATGTAAATATTTCTTGCAGCCAGGAACAATATAAAAGCATGGTTTGAAAAATATTTTTTTTATGGAACAAGTGAAGGGCAAGGATTTCAAATAACTTAGATATATGCAGCTACACATCTAATTTGCCCAAGCAATTACTGCAGATGAGCACACAAATGTTAATTGTATGCAGACAGTTAAATAAGCAAGGTACAGAAATAGCCAAAAATAAGTGCCTCGTACAATTCCCCCCCATCCCTCTGAGTGATGTTAAATTCAACAGTATATTTACAAACTAAAAGCCTTAGTTACTACATAAAGGTTATACTACCCATGATCTCTGCACAATATTCTTATTGATGGGCTGTCACAGGTTGCCTTTAGATCAAGACAAAAGGATGGCACACAGGCCTAACTTTGTAGACATAGCCAGTGGACCATAAAACTCGTATGGTCCATAGACAATAAAGATCTGAAAACAACAACAGTTACATACTTACAGAAAACCATCCATAAATTGATTTGGCACAAGAGTCTTTTCAGTAAGATTTTTTCCTTTCCTGAATGTTTGAAAAACATTTTTAACAACATTGTGTATTTTATGGAAATGCAAGTAAAATTTTAGTTCCACTGGAAAACGCTAACATTGACATATAGTCACTGGATCATTTCATTCTGTTCCCATTAACGACAATAGCAAAGTTTCCAGAGCATAATGGGATTAGATCAGGCCCACTATCTCCTGATAACATGACAAATAAGTTGTCACAATTATAAGACTCAGTTAATGCATGGGTTATGCATAGTTCTGTATAAATCATTGACTACTGGTATCCAGGCTAAAGTTTAAATAAAAATCTATGATGAGTATATCAAGAAATTATCAGATGATGACCTAGAAAATTCCCACAAGAATCTAGCAGAGTAATGTTTTCTGGTCCATCTGCAGAGCCATCTTTTTCAAACAAACAAACAAACAACTTTTAGACTTTAGACAGATTCCTTAAGAAATAAGTCAAATTGAAGATGACAGTATAGTAAGATTGCCAGTAGTCCAGGACTTCCCCCGGAGAAAAATACATAGCATATGTATACTGAACAAGTCCACAACAGGACTGTCAGTAGCACTGTCTTGAAACAATTCAATTTCAGACCCCAATGCAACAGCAATCTCCTTTTCCCGTCTTGTCCATCCAACTGTACTAAACACTTAAAAGACTACACTTTCAGATTTTTCTAGCTCTTGCTTCCCAATGAAAAACCAACAATCATGGCACAGAATCCTTAAAAAAAAAAAAAAAAAAAAAGTTAATGAAATTATTCCTGAGTTATAAGGCTCAGGAAAAATGCCCTATATTTTTAATTGACAGAGAAATATGGCACTAGTTGCCGAATATGAAAATAAGTCAAAGGAATATACCTTCCCCAAAGAACTTACTATTTGTACATTCAAGAAAAATACCACCATGTTACTTAAAAAAGTACATCTAATATGCATATTGTCAAAAATAAAAAAAATGTCAGAGAAGCTGAGACAAAATACATTTGCCAAAAAAGACTTGCCCTGGAACATAACTTTAAAATAATATATATTTCTGAAATGCAGTGGAACAACAACAATTGATGGGATTTATAGCCAGGTATTAAAGTAAGTATACATGAATGACATTAGTTCACAGAACTGGGAGAATAGGTACTATACCTAAAAGGTTCCATACACTCTAATGAGATAAAATTTTGAGCGAAGAGGACTTTACAGAAGAATATGTATGGAAACTAACCCCCAACATAAAAATACAAGTAGGAACATACTACCAACCTCCAAGCTCAGGAAATGATATATGAGTGCATGACATTTAGGAGATTAAACCAGCAACAAAATCTAATAGAATAGGAATAATGCAATGTGCATCATCTACTTGCACATAAACTGGTCAAATATCAAGTTGGGACATGGTTGAGAAAATCATGCAGGATAATGAGTATAGAGTAATTCTGTCATAAGACATATGCATGCTGCTAAATAAAGAAAAGGAAGAAATAGAAAACAAAATAAACCCAGTATGGTTCAATGGCCACATTATAGAAATAAGAGAAATTCAGCTCAAGTGAAGCCAAGAGAAAAGGATAAATATGAGAAGTAAAAGGGCACTGCACATAGATAAGCATATAAGAATGATAAGTTCTCAAAATACACCTGGAACAGGAAGCCTGCAAAGAATCAGTGGTTGTGCTGCACATTAAGACACATAGGGAACAACTGAGGAAGAAGATAGTTTTCTGCGCTGCTCTGATTTATATTTTTGTATCAGTCTTCACCCCAGAGGTTGTTAAGAAGATACTTACTATAGATCTCTTCACAGGCAAAAAAAGATGAAGCACTCTTAGAGACTGAAGTGGCAAAGGGAGGAACAAACTAAAAAAGTAAATCGCAGCAAGTCACTAGAACCTGGTATTCATTCCAGATATCTGAAAGAATTTAAGGTTCAAGTGACTGAATATTGTTGTTAGCAGCTCAATCTCATTAAAATCAGACACTAATGGAGGACAGCAAAAGTTGCACCTATTAGGCATACCCATGAATTACAAACTATGAGATACTCTTCAGAGCCAGATAAATTCACTGAAATAAAAAAAGAGTTATAAAATATCTAGAACAATGTGTTAGGGACAAACCCTGTAAAGGAAATTCTGCCTCTCCCATCTTCTAGAATTCCTTGACCACAACACCACATTAGGGGAGAATAGAACTGGTTAAAACCAATTTATTTAATTAAGTCTGTTTGAAAGTGTAAAAGCCCACATAAAAGGCTAGTAAGAAAACGAAGGCCAGATGTAAAGTACTGTGATGGATTAGAAACTGTTTAAGAGACAAATAATGGGGATAATGGTCAATTCTGCAGCACAGGAAAAAGGTGAACAATACCCCAAACATCCATACAAGGACTGATGTTTATTGTAGCAATCAATGATCCACAAAAGCAAGTGAACTCTGAAATCAAATGAAATTATTTGAGATAGTCACGACTAGACAGAACCAAGAGAAAATTCAGAGGAATCTTATATAGGTGTATCAGCAATGTACACTGAAAGAAATAATTTAAACTATTCACACACTACTGAGTCCTAAATCAACTGTAATTACTTGGCAAAAAGAAGAATGCACCAAGACTCTTGTCTACACCAGACATTTCTTCCTAACGTTCTCCACCAATTCAGCTTTACTGGAGGTAAAGATTATCGCCTGAATCTTAAAGGATTATTATACCTTATAAAACTGTAAACAAGATGATAATTGTTGCCAGTGTTTAAATCACTTTGCCAGAGTGAGAGAAAACACCGCTGTGCTTACAATACCAGCGGTAACCTGCCCACACCAGTACTCCCACTGTTGCTATCACCAATGGAGCTGTCCCAGTATTAGTAACAAGAGGAAATTTAAGTTTCTTAAAAAACAAAAATGTCACTAGCAATGAACAAAATGAAAAAATGAACATAGCAATCTTTGTTCAATATGTAGCCATGGTCAAAAAAGCTAACAATGTTAGGAAGTAAGAAGACTGGGATAGACAATATTAATGAACATATTATAGTGGCATTATACCAATTGACAGTAAGTTTTCACCTTGAATACTGTGGTCTGGTCAAATAATATATTTATAGAAACAGAAGGGGTCCAGATGTAAATGATAAAATAATTAGAAGCATAAAAAGAAATCCAAAAGAAGAAAAACAGAAAAGATGATGACTGCCTAGTTTACAGAATAAATAAGAAGGGCTATAATACAGATATATAAAATAAAGAATGGCATAGAAAAGTTACGCTGAGTGCTTCTATTTATGTTCTCCCTCATTTAATATAAAACTGGGGACAAACAATGAAACTCATTAATAAATTTTAAATTTAAGAGATAAAAGGTAATACTGGTGTATACGTTATTTTTGTTTTTTAAATAATTAACCTACAGTACAACCCATTCTACCAGGTATTAATGTTGTCAAGAGCTTAACAGGTTTCAAAGAAGCATTGGACATGTAAATGGATAGTAAGAATATCCATAGTTACAAAGTACAGGAGGAAGGAACTGTACAAGGGATACAATCCCTCACAATTCAGGGCATAAAACAATTATTAGGTGTTAGTGGTTGGCTAGAATTTTCCTCTGTGGATAGGTTATTTCATAATTGTCTATTATGGGACTTCTTGAACCAGCCTCTGAAACTGTGACTCAGAAACCCTTCGATGCCAACTGGAAATGGGATTACAAGAATACACTGATCCTGGTACATACATTCTGGTTCACCAAAGAACATCATGTGAAATCATAAATGAAAGCCAGGATCAATCATTTTGGTCAATAATATTGTTGTGAAACTTCTGGATAGATACTATGTAAGGACTGGTTTCAGAGGAACAGCCGTGTTAGTCTGTATTCGCAAAAAGAAAAGGAGTACTTGTGGCACCTTAGAGACTAACCAATTTATTTGAGCATGAGCTTTCGTGAGCTACAGCTCACTTCATTGGATGTGTAGCTCACGAAAGCTCATGCTCAAATAAATTGGTTAGTCTCTAAGGTGCCACAAGTACTCCTTTTCTTTATGTAAGGACTGTATATGTATATATGTTTTAAAATCTGTGTTGAGGCAGAGTTGATAAATGGAGTTTTCTGTCAAAGGATGTCTATTCACCTGTCCCTCCGGCATGTAAATTAAGCACTGTAACGTAACACAATGGAGAGTCATTTACAAAGGCAATGGGGGATCTAAAATCAACAGGGAGGCAGCATGCTGTCAGTGGACAAAGAACTTTGGGGGATATAAGAAAGCAAAAAGACACCGCTTAATCTTGCGCCTAGGAAGTAAACAGACAACGCAGTTACATTTATGAAACCAGTTACATTTATTTCTACCTTGGTGGAAGACTCTGCAAGAAGCTTTAGGTGTGAGAAACTTGTTTAGACTGGAGGTTAGTATATTAAATTTAGTCTCTAGAAAGTGGGTTATAATTGTTTTATATGTAACCTTATGTTTCCATTGTCATTATCATTTGAACATTTGATAATAAACTTATGTTGTTTTCATTATAAATGTAACTCAGTGCTGTGATATTAACAAAGGTACTGATCCTCAGTAGGATCACACAAGCTGGTGTGTACACTATCTCCTTGTGGGCAGCAAACCTAGGATTTCTGTAAGTACTCAGTGGATAAGGGGCTGCTTCAAAGGTGTGGACTAGGATGCACCTATTGTTAAACTAGGAAAAGTAAGGACAAGTCTGGAGGAGACTGTTTGGGAGGCTAACAGGCTAGAGGTGTGAGGGAGCTGACACCCAGGTAAACATAAGCAAGTCTTCCTCTCGACAGAGGTAGAGGGTAATAAGGTGACACGTGGTCCTAGATTACCTGAGAACCATTACAGAAACATCTAGGACTGATCTTCTCTACTTGAGAGACATCATATCCACTACAAAAATGCCTATATCTGTATTTTATACACTACACAGAGTACTGTTAAACAAGTAAACAAATCATATAAAATTCCTTCATCTAAACAGCTATAGATATAGTCCCCAATCCTGCATCTGCTCTGAACAGGTCCATCTGTATGAAGCAGCTTGGAAGACCAGAAACTAAGTTAGGGATTGAACCTGAAGTACAAAATAACTTGTTAAAACCAGAAGTTTCCATGAAGGAATCATTGACAAAAATCTCCTGTGCACACAAAAAGAAAATACCAAAGTTCCCTTACATTTCAATATGTAGAAAAAACAAAGGTGAACAGTTCTGTTTACTCAAATATCTGAAGTCAAACAAATGACTACTATGCCAAAAATAAACAGACATTTATTACCAACAGAGGCTGAACGCATTTGTTGCATGTGGGCTTCTATGACAGAAGGGTCCTTAGAGCTGTATGTTCCAAGTTCAGGGTAAAAACTGGACGCAATATCATCTGGAGGATTGTGTCTTCCCTTCGGGTAATTGTTTGCAATTTTGGAATCCCAATGTGGCACCAGTGGATGGTTCCAGTGAATATATTTACCATCATACTGTGGATTCCCAAACCAGCTGTAGTAAAACACATGAAAGTTATAATTAGGGGAAGGCAATTCCTCTTCCAACTTTCTTACAGAGGCCATAGATGTTTTAACGCTATTCAATGCAATACTGTGCAAATTATTGGTGTGCGTTACACTATCACCATTGGCAGCAGTTAGGGGACTGTGTTTATTTTCTAAGAATGTTGTCCGTTGTTGAAGTTCCGGTAAGAGACCAAGTCCAAATGGATCCCCAAAACCAGCTCTGTCAGGTCTTAGAGTCTTCAAAGCCATCATCATGGAGCAAATGAATAAAATAAAAAGCAACAAAATAATGCATGTTCTTCTGTGAAATCTTGCCATGATGTCATAGTTCAGCGTCCAAACAACAGGTTTCCAGCTACAACTGGTCAAGAAAAAAATATTTTTAAATCAGATTTCTTGTCACCTATCAATTCAACATTATTAAACACTTCATAAAATTTCTATAAGAGATTTAGGGATAAACATAACTAATTTCTAAAAAATATACTATGTTTGCATACTCTTGTACATATCGCCTTTGCTGGGAAAAATAAGACAATCAACACATACATTCTCAAAGATCATGCAGACCTGTTTTAGTGAACTATGTGGTGAAGCTTTACGCCATCCAAGGATTACACATTTTATGGAACATCCTACTTTTCAACGGTCTTCCTGGTTTTCCCAAACTGCACCAGACCCTATGAAATGGGAATTCTAGTTACGCTATTTCCAAGCCACTGCTTTGTGCTTACCCTATGTCACTGGCAGAAACACCATAGTATAGCTGTGATTTTTTTATTTTGTGCACTTAATACTTCTGGGGGAATTCTGTGTCACTGTGCATGCACAGAATTCATGTCTCCCATAGATTTTTCCCCCTTGCAGAATAATACATATTGCTGAGGAGGCACTGCAATTACACCCACCAGTGGCTGCTGTAGCACCAAAAGAGAGAGTAGCCGGCTCAGGGCCGGAGCAGTCAGTCCCAGAGAGGATGCTTTCCTCATAGGCCCCTGCCCATGGGGCCAGGTGAAGAGGCATGGGATATTGGGGGCGGGGGGGACAAAGACTGTAGGGCACCTGGAGCTCCTGCGGATCACATTGACTGCAGATCAGAAGGGTTGGAGGAGACACATTGGAGTGGGGAAACAGGAACTACTGGGGTGACAGCATTGAGCCAGGAGCTTAATGGAAGTGGTGGGTGCAGGGTCACATGGGATCAAGGGGGTAGCTGAGTGGTGGTGCAGGGACACATAGGGATGCAGGGGACAAGGGTGCAGTGACACATGGGGACAGGAGGGAGCTGAGTGGAGGCCACAGATACACACAGGGACAGGGGCAGATGTGCCTGACTGAATGGGAGAGGCTAGGGGTCAGGCAGAGTCTGCATTGGGGAGGCTCTCCAACTCCCTAACAATCCTCCCTCCTCCCAAAAAACATTCCATACTTCTCCCACTCACACCCAACAATCCTCCAGGTTCACTCCCAGGCTCCTTCCCAGTAATTACTTCCCTCTGCTCAGCTCCTCCGTTATTCCTGACTCCCCCAAGCAAAGGCCCTTGCACTGCTTCTGAGGGGTGCAGGTAAGGGGTGTGGGAAATACGTTTCTGTATTGTAGTTTAAATGAATTATTATGCAAAGTTCTGTATTAATAAGCCTAGTAAGCAATCTATTTGTCAAAAAACATTTCCTGAATCTTTTTTGTTTTCTGATTGTAACAGAGATACTTGCGGACAGGTATTTTGAAATAAATAACCAAAGTAACTGAAACCAGTAAGATTATATTGTATTATTTTGACAGATAAGATATGCAGATTATTAAAATATTGTGCACAGAATTTAGATTTTTGGCACAGAATTCCCCCAGGAGTAACTTAACATACAAATTTCAGACTCTGGATTGTAAACTTGGGGCACTGACCCTCTTATTGTATGGATTTGTACAGTGCTTTGCTCAATGGCCCCCAGATCACAACTGGAACTTGGAGCTATCATAACAAACTTGGCAACTGACCATTAACTGTAATATAAACAACTCCATTACAGGACTTTATCAGTGAAAATGTCTGTTCAACTTGTAAATGAACCCTTCTGCACTGTTTCAAGAGGATACAGTATCACTGGTAAACCCACGGGATTTAAACAGCTTCTGCAATTTATTTAAATTCATTTAAGTTACTGAGTCTGATGTAACGATATTTACTTTGTTTATTGACATGTGATGTTGACCATTTGTATTTTAATTGTCATAAAGCTTTAACCTTTTAAATTTCAACATACACTGTTATTAAATAATTGTCAGACCCTCCCTACTTTCTGACCTGCCCATAATTTCTCAACTGTGAAATTTTAAATCTCTAAGCATTTTTTGTCAATTTTTAAAACCCATCCCAACATGTGCAATTGTGAAGAATTTAAAATAAAACAAAAAAATGTAAAAAGGAAGCAATCAAATAAAAATAAAAATTGAATTCTACCAAGCCTAATTATAATGCATTTTGCCTTGGAATACAGCTGCACACATTTCTGAAAAAAGGTAAAAAACACGTTAATGTAGGTGACTGAGTTTCACTAGAAACAAAATTGGTGGCTCAACTCCTGAAGCCTCAAACATTTGTGAGAGTTGTTCCAGTTTCTTTCTCCAGGTCTGGGGAGCAGGGTTTAGATATGGGACTCAAAATATTTGAAATCTACCAAAGTTTATCTCCTTTAGCTACTCCTACTATGGACAAAGATACTGAAACATATCTCATTCCATAAGGACTCAGCAAAATCTGACATTTTCCATGTGGATGATTAATGAAATATGGATTACAGTCTCTCTTTCTCCAAAACCCCTACATGCTACTTTACTTGCTGCTTTCTAAACTCCTATATATGAAAAAGCTACTTTTTACCAAATCTTTAGAGACTGCAGACATAAAAGCCACTTTTTCCCTCTACCACCATTTGTGTCCTGCAATAATCATTTCCATATGGCTTTCATATTACTTATTCTTGCCTCTCATCCTGAGAGGTTTCAGAGTAGCAGCCGTGTTAGTCTGTATCCACAAAAAGAAAAGGAGTATTTGTGGCACCTTAGAGACTAACAAATTTATTTGAGCAAAAGCTTTTGTGAGCTACAGCTCATTTCATCGGATGCATGCAGTGGAAAATACAGTGGGGAGATTTTATATACACAGAGAACATGAAACAATGGGTGTAACATTGTAACTATGTAACTAGAGTGATCAGGTAAGGTGAGCTATTACCAGCAGGAGAGCAGGGGTGGGGACTTTTTGTAGTGATAATCAAGGTGGGCCATTTCCAGCAGCTGACAAGAACATGTGAGGAACAGTGGGGGGGGGGGGGGGGGGGATAAACATGGGGAAATAGTTTTACTTAGTGTAATGACACATCCTCTCCCGGTCTTTATTCAAGCCTAAGTTAATTGTATCCAGTTTGCAAATTAATTTTCCTGAGAGGAAATCCGTGGTTCTTGTTCCTGCAAGAAGGTTAATGTAATTTTACCTCTTTTTTAATAACTCAAGCATAGTCTTTTCTGTTGTCTCATAAATATGTGGGTAAAAAAGGCATTAAAAATAAGGCCTGAAAGTTCTGAGTTTTTTCAGCTTGTTTTGCATGTTCACTTAGATATTGCCTAACTTGTTCTTCCTGGAAGATTCTATGATTATGAAACTAGTAATATCATGAGATCAATTTTCATTTGCATGGTATCTGTGACCACTTAAACTTCAGCACCTCAGCTGAAATCAATCATTGGCAACTTTATCTTTGTGCTCCTCTGAGCAGGTTTAGATGACATGAAGAGTACAAACAGTCTGCTTTGTATAGGAGAGAGCCATATTTTCATTTCTCTGTCTAAAAGAATTAAAACAATTCTTAATAAAATTATAACATGGTTCTTTCTGTTCCATCCAGTTCCCCTCTCCTCCCCACAACAAAAGGCTATACCATAGTTAGGTTCAAACATATTTAAGCAAAGTTATTTTTATACTGTAGACAGAATGTGAACATTATTTTTGATTAACCTGTCCTGAATTCTTAGAGCAAATTGTGGCAGAAATGCCAAGGATCCATCAATGTTAAATATTTTACTGTGTTTAGACATGGTAGTGTCCCAGTCCTGCAAAGGCTTCAATAAATTCACCGATTATAAGGCAGAAGGGACCACCGTGATCACCTACTCTGACCCGCTTTGGTAATTCAGTAAATGCCAGGCCCACGTTAAGTCCTCTTTGAACTAGAACGTCCAAAACCCGACCTCTGTTTAAAAATTGCCAGCGATGGAGACGCGACTTCGCTACCCCCACTCAAAGCGGCTACAACTGACAGAGTTTAGAGAGAGAAACAGCTGGCTGGCTCTGCCAGTTTATGTACATTTGGGACCGGTCGGAGCTTAGTTTTAGAGCCATTTTCAGTTTCCGCTGTACAGTCTGCCAGCTTCCCCTTCCATTCGCGCGGCTCTCGCACCCCAACGGGAGCGAGACAAACGTTGCAATCACAGAACAAAAACAAACCCCAGCAACGTGGGGCTGTAAACCCAGCAGGCCGCGTCCGGCGGGCACCTGACGCTGGTGGGGCTGAGCTCCGGCGGCGACGGGCGCGGCAGGCCCCGGGCTCCCAGCACAGGCACGTCCTGGCGCGGGTCCGGCCGGGGCGGCGGCCTGTCACTCGCCCGGGCACCGTCCTCCCTCGCAGGCCGGCCACGGCCCGCCAAAGGAGCGCGCAGGGGCTGGGTCGGAGCCGCCGCCCCCCGGCACCAACCAGCGGCGCGGCGAGCAGGGGCCCCGGGGAGCGAAGGGGGGAGGCAGGTGCTCTGGGGGCTGCCCCGCTTACTCACCCGTCGGAGGCGGGGGCGCGGCCCTACAGCCTGGGGAAGGCGGGGGCGGGGGGGAGCAGCAGCAGCACCAGCAACGCTCCGCCTAGCGGCCACTCCCGCACACGAGACAGTTGGTGTCTGCAGCGGGGCCTGCTGGGGCAGTTGAAGACGCGGGTGTGATCATGGGCTGAGTCAAGTCAGTTCGGGTTTTGCTTCCTAAACTTACTGAGCATGCTCAGACTTATGAGCATGCGCAGCAGCTATTGGCGAAGCCGCTGCCCGGAAATAAGCGCGTTCCCCGAAGAGACGAGGGAGCGTCGCGGGTGGCTGCTGAGCATGCGCGGTAATACCTGCTGGCTTCTCTCCTCTGCCCTCACTGTGCCCAGACTTGGGGTTCCGAGCTTGCTCCCTGCCAAAGCTGTGCCGTGGGCGGTGAGCTCCGTGCACGGGCCCTTCAAACCCGTGCGGCCGGGGAACGGGAGAGGTTCATTTGGCAGGACAAAGTCAGGGACAGGGTTGGCGCCTGGGTGAAGGATGGGGTGACAAGCAGGCGGGGGCAGAGGGGAGAAGAGTTACCCCAAGTAGGGTGTGGCTGGTACAGGGGCTTCTTCCCTACCCGCAGGATGGTAGGCCTGAGCAGCAGCTTTTCAAGGGCTGGGTTTGGAATGGCACCATATAGCCTCATGCCTAGACAAGGCAGATCTGAAATGACGTATTAAGCTAGTAAAAAGAAAAGGAGTACTTGTGGCACCTTAGAGACTAACCAATGTATTTGAGCATAAGCTTTCGTGAGCTACAGCTCACTTCATCGGATGCATACCGTGGAAACTGCAGAAGACATTATATACACACAGAGACCATGAAACAATACCTCCTCCCACCCCACTGTCCTGCTGGTAATAGTTTATCTAAAGTGACCACTCTCCTTACAATGTGTATGAAAATCAAGGCGGGCCATTTCCAGCACAAATCCAGGTTTTCTCACCCCCCCCACCCCCATACACACACAAACTCACTCTTCTGCTGGTAATAGCTCATCCAAAGTGACCACTCTCCTTACAATGTGTATGAAAATCAAGGTGGGCCATTTCCAGCACAAATCCAGGTTTTCTCACCCCCCCCCACCCCCATACACACACAAACTCACTCTCCTGCTGGTAATAGCTCATCCAAAGTGACCACTCTCCTTACAATGTGCATGATAATAAAGGTGGGCCATTTCCAGCACAAATCCAGCTTTTCTCACCCCCCATTCTTGCCACAGCAATGGTTCCCTCAACCCACCCAGCAATATTGTTAACCTATCCAACTATACTCTCAGCCCAGCGGAAGCAGCTGTCCTATCTCGGGGCCTCTCCTTCTGCCCCTCCACCCCCACGAACATGATACAGTTCTGTGGTGACCTAGAATCCTATTTTCAACATCTCCGACTCAAGGAATATTTCCAAAATACCTCTGAACAACATACTAATCCACAGAGGTTTCTCTACCAACACTACAGAAAGAGGGATTCTAGATGGACTCCTCCTGAAGGTCGAAACAGCAGACTGGACTTCTACATAGAGTGCTTCCGCCGACGTGCACGGGCTGAAATTGTGGAAAAGCAGCATCACTTGCCCCATAACCTCAGCCATGCAGAACACAATGCTATCCACAGCCTCAGAAACAACTCTGGCATCATAATCAAAAAGGCTGACAAAGGAGGTGCTGTTGTCATCATGAATAGGTCGGAATATGAACAA